ATTCCCACAGAGATTGTTATCTATGGATTACATCCAAATCAATTCACGGGTTATGGAAGTCTGTCGAGAGTGTCATTTGATATCGCCAAAGCTGTTCACTGCCACGCTGCAGCGGATAATGAACTCATTCGATTGGAGCGAGAAAGGTGTATCCAAATAAAAAGGATAAAGCTATCGGCATTGACCAATCTCTGGGGAACACGCCATGCATTCGACTTCACTAACCATCGTTGGAGGTGATTAAATCCATATTTGGCCTTTACAATGATGCATGGTAGCCTAGCGATGCATCAAGTCAGTGCTATTATTTTCACTATCCTCCTAAATAGGTTTGGCATTAATTTACCGACCGCAGAGAGATGGAAGGCTTCGTGAGCCTGGGTTCGGGATCTAACCCATGTGTATTGCCAAGCTCCTCTAACCACCGTACTGATAGAAAATCTTAGTTTCGCAGATAACGCTGTATTTTCTGGAGCGCTAGTGAAGCAGAGAATATGCTTATTGAACTCAACGAAGCGTTAAGAAAGATTGGACTGCGCGTTAACAGGACAAAGACCCAGTTCATGAAGAACCCGTAGTACGAAGATGAAAAAATCGAACAGGATGGTTCTGTAATTATAGAAAACACTTCGTATCTGTACCCTGGACGTCCAATGAAGATTTGTAACAACATGAAGGCAAAAGTAGAAGAAGGAGTTCAGCACGAGCCGCATTCGGGCCTCTCAAAGAAGTCGCCGACCAATTAGCGAATCAGAACTTCGCGTTCACTTTTTCACTAAACAGTCCTCCCAGCGCTCTGTTATACAGCAGAGACGTGGGCTGATACTTAAACCATGTCAAAAAACTCACCAACACCAAACGAACGCCTGATCGATCTCTTCTGACATTTAACCTGCACTCATAGCCGAAATGCTCAACTGAAATCTTCGAAACTTATCTTCGAGATCCAGGAGGGTGTACATCGGTAGTCAGATGAGTCGGTCACATAGTAAGAACAGATCACAGATGGACAAGAAGAACATTGGGATGACTCTCGGACAATGTAAGCGGTTGGCCTTGGATGACCATCCAAACGATAGGCGAACGTGTTCGCAGTTAATGCCAACCACTTGCATTCGCAGATGGGAGCAATTTTAGGACTACGGAATCGTCTTTGTGACATCACCATGTTCGAAGGACCTCATCACTATGGACAACGCTAACGCGAGAGAGAAACGAATGGAGATTGCGCTAGAGTCCGCACTCTCAGTGAAGACGAGTCATCGAGTAGCCAAATAACAACCCATTCTGAGGTCAATCGGTAATGATAGGGTACAGATAGCGCAGTGATGGTGATATCGATCGTCACGAGCACGACGGTAGTTCGATCCTGCTCCGAACTCACCAAGCCTGTCATCACTCCGAGGTCAATATATTGGTATAGGAATTGTTTGGGAAGAAATCACTCTCTGCTTTCAAATGAGAACGCTCTGTTTCGGCTATGTCGGGAATCCAGGGAAATCGATCCGACTAGCATTCAACGTTATTTAGGATGAAAGGAAAATCCTTACGCGGCAGCAGAAGCCACATGTAGAAGTTGGAAGACCTTCGTGGATGATAAATGGAATGAAAACAATGGAATGTGAAAAGTGTTCGGATATGCACAGTAGCTGTGAAAGAAGGATCGTATAAAATAAAATGAATAAATAAAAATTGGTTAATGATGCTGAAGTTAGATGAAGGTTGATTTCGGCAAGCAATATTTTAAACCTTTTACTTCGTATGAGCTAGAGGTAATAAATAAATGGTGTTCATTTTGACCTAAGAATTTAATGGGTGCAATGATTTGTAAGAAGAAAGCGATGGCTGGTATCAGTTAGAACAATCTCATGTCGGGCATGGTAAAATCTTCGAAGTAGTGAAGTGTTTCCAAAACGTTGCCGTAATGATGTTGCCGAGTTAGTAACCTGCTTGCATGCTGTTTGCCAACCACTCAAACGATAAATTTGGCTTCCTGACTTTTTTGTCAGCAGCTTGATCATAAAGTTTTTCTAAAGTGTTCACTTCAACCTGTTAAAAGATTTATCCAGAGTTCTTTGCCGTTTTTGTATATAACCAGTCAAACTACCAATTTCACTTCTTAATTATATACTTAGATGACTGGTGTTTACATGTCATGTCGATTGCCGCACCGCACTTCACTTTTTCTGTATCTTGCAAGCATCTGTGAAGGTGGTTAGGCTAGTATATGGCTACGGCTGCGCCTTGCGGACTTCTTATCATCCATCAATTATTAAGTGCTGGTGGAGCATGATTTTCTCTGGGAACAGGAAATAGCCGTTCTTGGACGACCTCGCGTCGTCACTGCAAGTGACGGCGTTTTTGAATCGCAGTGAGATTTACTGGCTTGTAACTAGGACTCTCCAAAGATGACTGCGGTTCTCGTGATAGCAGGGAATTCTGCGATTAGTTGAGCGATCGATCATGAACAGTGTAACAAGCCGAACTACCACTAATTTCATTAGTGATCGTAGCAACAAGGCTACTTATTGTGAGTCTTGCCACGGCCGAATCCAAATGCATCAATTTTTGCAAATCACGTATAAGTTTACCGTAACCAACAGCGTGTACCTTTTACCAATTCATTTTGGTGTGAGTGTGAGATTCTTTTTAGTCACACGTTCTGCTTCGCAACCGTGACGGGAGATTTTCCATGCGCCGGGCGGGATCTGCTTAGGCTATCAAAATGACGAAATTTAGAAGAGAATTGACGATCGTGAAACTTTTGATCGTCGGTAGATTGCGCTATGTGATAAACACTCAAAAATCTATTTTGAATAAAAGTATTTCCCGATCAAAGAACGTACTTTTGATGTTTTTCAACCCTCTTAGAGTAACCATACAAATAGATCATTCCGAATGATGTAAGTCAACGTTAGTTTTATAACAGTGTCTTTGCATGTCGTACAGTAATGCAACTGACGACGTTTTCTGAGACTTTAAAGCAAAGAGCGATATTTTAGAAAGTGCAATGAAGTCGATTCATGTCCAAGATAGATCCGAATTCTATCGGTGTTTGCTATCTCAAATTAGAGTTGAGCGTATTGATGAGATTAGGAGAAAAACACCGAAAATCCGTTACGGTTCATGATGCCTACCATTTTCAATAAGTCATCCAACTGTCATTTCAAATTATCACTTATTTTGACTAAGGCATTAAATGAATCATAGGCTTATTTTCTCCAGTACAAAGCTCGATAACGAAAAGACTTCGTGAAGTATAGAGGTCGTTTTGGCAAAAAATAAGTCGCGAAGAAGCATGTCCCTTTCTTTTATGGAAGAACGAACCAGTTTCGTGTGTGACGATGACATGGGAATGCCTTTATACGGCTATCTCGATACTTCAGGGAAAAAAGAAACCTGCGTAAATAGCAAGAAACAGTCCGATAGTAGTTCTGCTTTGACACGAGCGAAGATAGACCATCCACATATTAAAATATACCGAAATTGTAATGTTCATGTGAAATGTTGATTTTTTTACTCTTCATATCAGCACACATTGCAAAAATCACTCAGTTCATTCAGAACAGCTGACGATCTCGGCACCACGACGAGATTGGAAACCTAACAAACTTCATGCGGGTCAGAATGATTGTTGTAAATTTGATTCATGAGTCCTTTTCTTTGTGCAAGTTGAGATCATAGAGAAAATCACCACTGATAACGACTGGTATTCTTTATCTTAATAAAATATTGCAGACCATCTATTAATGCTCGCGAATCCTCATTTATTCAAATTTTCAGTAATGTTTGCTAGTCTAGTTGCTCTTAGCAAAAAAGTATTCGTCACAGAAGCCAGAAACAAAACGAGAAATCTTTGTCTTAGTACACTTTCAGAGGGGCGCGTATAATGCAGTGGTTATTGGCACCCTCCAATACATGCGGGCTCAGTCCCGCGCCGCAGCCTTCCATCTCTGGGGTCGGCAAATTGATACCAGACTTGTCTCGGAGGATAGTAGCACCGGCTCGATGCATCAGTAAGCCACCACGAGTCATTATAAAGCCTAGATATACATTCAATATCCTCCAACGATGCTGGATGAAGTCGAATGCATAGCGCATCCCTCAGGGATTGATCAACGCTGAGAGCTCTACTCTTTCTATCCTTTTATGCTTTCAGATCTGGTACGGTTTTATTATAATTCCTTTGTCTTTACCAGTCAGAAAACCATGTTAGTTATACATTATCTTATGTCGTTTTATAGTTCCATATCACTTAGATCTCTGAAGATGGTTTCTAACATTCTGTTACAACTGTCATTCCCTGAAATATCCAGATTCGGTGTGGGTTCGCGAATTGGCAGCGATCCGAAAAGTCGTCTTCTCTGGGCATCAATATATCAAATATTAATCAGAAGCGGTTTACGTAAAATTTGAAAATACGTGTGCTAGTGTTTTCTCAAGTCATCGCAGCAAGCAGTCGTTGGCTGTTATAAATCAAATGGAAGTTTCCTGGTTTGCAAATTGGGCTCTCTCAAAAGTATGCCGATTTCAGAAATTTGATCAATGGAGGACGATATAAGAAGCCGAAGTCTAAGGTTCTTATAAATACAACCTTAGACAAATTGTTACCGATCGGCGTCTCAAAGACTCGGTTCCACATTCTCAAGACGCGTCGACCATGTGGCCATCAAATCAGGACACACTGGACGAATTGTCGGTGTGATTAAGCATGATCAAGGCTGGCGGTTGCAACATACTCACATCCGATGTGAAATTCTCGCTATGGTATGCTCCCTTTCAAGTTTCAGTTTTTGCGCGCGCCGACCCGCCTTGGTGTATTGTCTGTATTTGAAAAAGCAGCAATTCGATTTTCCGACGATCCAGATATAAAAGAACACCAGTCATTAAAACGGCATTCGTTATCTCTGGAACAGTCCACGTTATCGAGTCATCCACGAAATTTGTGTGCTCTCAGCGCTACTCCTTACTCTATGCTCTCGACCTATCCGCGCTTGCAGATGTCAGTGATTAGCGCCACTTCCGGCGCATTGCTCTTTTCCGGAACAACACTTCTCGTTTCACTCTTTGCTGCTGCCACCATTTACTCCCAAGTTAACTCATTCCGAAATGAACTTGACAGCGAAATGAACAATTTCAAGGTTAGGTTTCACCTCGTCAATTACTATCAATTTCACCGGCTTCTACTTTAAGAGAAGCCGTATTTATGTTTGAAATGTTTTACTCCCACGACCGACTTTCTATTAACCTCGGCATTTGCTAAACAAGAATATGAAGTTTTTTTTAATTTCATTTTTGCGACGATATGCAACTTTGAATCCAATGCATTTAATTTTCAAGGTTGTTAGCGTCTTTAGCTTCATTAAAATTTTGTACGGTGGAGTGTGATTCAATCCAATAGAGTATGTGAAGATCAATGTTTAGGTTCTCACCGACGATATTTGGGTAGATATGATCGCCCTTGGTGCTGGTACCCCAGCAAACCGATTCAGACGTCAAGCTTACAGTGGTCATGTGGCTAGCGACTTGCAACCTTCCATTCCAAGCTCGGTTTATGGAGGATACAACGCCGCAGGATTCCAATTAACCGATGTGACTCCCACTGTCTTAAACATTCCTACGTCGCCATTTGTGGGTGGTGGAATTCTCAACGTTGGAAACAGTCGATGCTATTGCACACTTGACAATAACTGCCCTCCAGGACCACCTGGTATCACTGGAGACCAAGGACCAGACGGATACGATGGCCGTGATGGTGTGCCTGGATTTGATGGTTTCGATGCCGAAAACATTTCAAATGAAGCTCCGTTAGGATGCTACACTTGTCCGCAAGGACTTCCCGGAGCTCAAGGACCTTCCGGACCTCACGGAATTCGTGGAATGCGTGGAGCCAAGGGACAGCCTGGAATGCCTGGCAGAGATGGGAATCCTGGAATGCCCGGTTCGAGGTTTTGATTTAAATAACGCGTCATCTCATAGGATTTTTGAAAATAGATCGTTATTTTTAGGAGAAATGGGACCAACCGGACCACCAGGGAATGATGGACAACCTGGAAAACCGGGAGAGAAGGGAGACGATGCTGAAAACCCGATTGGCCGAGCGGGTCCTCGTGGGTCGCCTGGAGAACAAGGACCAGAGGGTCCAGAAGGCACTCCTGGTAGAGATGCATACCCTGGGCCACAAGGACCTATCGGTGAACAGGGCGTTCCTGGTTATCAGGTGAGCTTCTTTAAATACGAAGTTTAAAAGTGCTTATTCGTCCTATACACTGTTAAGAAGACGCATGAAAGGCGATGAAAGAGTTTAGGGTGCGGCTGGACCAGATGGAGATGAAGGACCTCAAGGACCTCCTGGAAAACCAGGCAGGGATGCCGAGTACTGCAAGTGTCCTGATCGCGATGTGAGCGGTAGTTTTCCGCAAAATCCCGTGAATGCAACATATTATAGAAAGAAGAAGCGTTTGCATTAAGTCCTTACTCAGAACTTTTCTCAGCAATGTGCTTGACAAATTTTTAAATTCAGATCTCGGCGGTGTATTATTGGACTAATAAACAAATCTTCTGTTGAATCCTCAGAACAGTAGTTGTACACTACCAATACATGAAAAATTCAAAAACCTTCCTGATAATGATGCTAGGAAACGAATAGAATGCAAGATGTACTGCGATCCATACAATAGATGTGAGGATGGATCATGTCAATAAATAAATAAGTAACACTATCCTATTACTTGGAATACTGTTTCTAGAACAGCAGCAATCTTTTACAGGAGAACACAAATAGGACGACATGTTGGTGCTGGAAACAGTATTTTTAAAAATATCGTCAACTGTACAGAACAGCTTTTCACGGATGATACTCGATACAGAGTTGATGATGGGTAAATTATCGATTGGATACGGAAAGTGTGGCGAAAAACTTCACAGAAAAATAAACAGCCGGAAGAAATATGAATCACATGTGATTCGTATCGTCGCAAATATGTTAAACACTGACTTGAAGGCTTCTATAAAACTCAGTTTTTTCTGAAGTACACGCCACTAAAACTTATGGAACTTACGAAGAGAACGATGTTCACTTGTTTGGTAACCATTGCCGCTTTGATTCAGCTATATGAAAGTTTAAAATAATGCAGATTAAATGAATTTCAGTGACACTGATAAGATTGGAAGTGGAAGTGTTCACTGCTGAGCTTTTCCTTTATAATGCTGTCACTAGAACCGTTCATGTTCATATACAGATGTAAAAAACTCCAAATATTCAGCCAAACGATCAAATCTCACTACTTTCACTCACCTTGGCGGCTTTTTGTTAACTTGATGACATCGACTAATACCTTACTGCACTACGCAATCAAAATCTATCAAGTGAAGGAAAGCAGTTTGAGAAACCATTTCTTAGAATTCCAATACTCAGTAGTTATAAAATAATCGTTACTGCTGACCAAATTATTTCACGGCCTGTAGGAAAGCATAGATCAATATTCAGACCTCATCGTAAGGTGATTTAATAGTTTTTATAGTAATCCAGTTGAGCTTACCAATTGAAGTAACCGCGTACATTTCATAAAATTCATAAAGCCGTTAAGTTGTTACGCAATGATTTCTTATGAACGTTATGCTTTACTTATGAACTTTAGGCTTTTAGGCTTTCATGGAAAGCGGTGAACTGTATGGTGATAACACAGAAGTCATCCGTAACACTTTTGCGCCGATACGCGCTTCATAAATCAAATTAGTCAAAAAGACTAATTAACGTTCAGAAAAACTGTTTTGAGTGATTATCGTGATGAAAAACTACGATGAGTGATGACCTGTGAAGAGTATAAAACGTTCCGACGTGGGCCCCCTTTCTACATTCTTCGAACCGGGCTTAGCGAGACCGTGGTGAACAGGCGATCTTCATGGAAGGTGTGCACGAACATCATGAAATGAATCCATGTCAGCTGTCACACAAATAAATCACCGATAAAAAGGATAAAGGTTAAAGCTCTCGGCGTTGATCAATTCCTGAGAAATGCGTCATGCATTCGACTTCGCTAAGGAATCGTTGGAGATGAATGAATGCATACTTGGCCTTTACAATAACTCGCGGTGGCCTACCGGTGTATCGAGCCAGTACTGCTCTCTTCCTAGACAAGCCTGGTACCAATTTGCCGACTCCGGAGAGATGGAAGTTTTAGTGAGCCACCGGCGCCGGGATCTACTCCACATGTGTGTTGCAGGGGCCTCTGACCAGTGCGCCACACGCACCCCTGTAAGATACCGATGTAAAAGCCACCGATACTTTGCGGAAACTTGCAGGATACCTATGCAAAATACGCTGATAGATGTACTGCTGGCTACTTAAAACACGTTCTTCTTTTCACGGACAACTAATAAATGAGACTAAAATCGCGAGAGAAACTTGAATGTGACAGTAATAAGAGCGACAATGAACGCGACAAAAAGTAATGTACTCGAATTTGGAGGTATGCAGAAAGCCGAAATAGAAAAAAAAAGTACTTTGAAAAGTATTTAACACATAATTCCCAACGCTCAGGTTTCAGTGGATGTCGCATAGGATGACGTTTAGTTTCAACTTGGCTGAACAGACAGTAGAAGTCGGCTGGATTAAAACACCACAAATCACGAATGGTGCTGGTTTTTCAACAATCGACGACGAATTTTTGATAGCAAGAGGAATTTAGGGGCTGAAAGCAAAATAGATTTATAAGAGAGAATTTTGTTTCATCCCAAGGCATGGGTTATTTTTAGGTCATCCGGGTGTTAAGGCCAGATTTCTAATTTCATTTATTTTTTACATATTGTAGCAATTTTTTTCGGGTGCTGTTTTACTATGTCATTTTCTACATTTTCGCTGTGCACGTTGAATTACAATTTAAACTGTGCTGCTGACAAATTTTAAAGGTTAGAATTTCAGATCTGAAGACAAATTTTAGTGAAGCTAACCCGCTCCAAACACTTAGGATGTATGAGCAGGCAAGTGCTATCGAGCCCACGGTGCAAAATTGTTTTAGAAAATTTTGTGGTAGCGAACTCGATCTTCCATTTGGGGAAGTCACCGATGTCTTTCTGCTACTAATGACGATGAGTTGATGGTTTTGCTGTGAGCGAATACGTTCAAAGCTGCTCGAGAACTTGCAAAAGAACTCGGTACGAGCATCTCAACTTTGTCGAGACAACAAGGAGTGCTCGTAAGAACATATGTATAAAAATATATGTATATGTATATATACATATATCGACTATTAGTGTTTCTTGACATGTAGAAATGTTAGAAAGCCAAACAAGGTTAGTAAATGGGTGTCATGAATTGGACGACTGTCAAAGAAATCACCGTCTTGAGGTTTCATCGGCGCTACTTCTGCAAAACTAGAGCGATCCGTTTCTTGATTATGTAGCAAAATGACACGAGAATTAGATTCCCTATGATAACCGACGACGGGACTGGTGGCACAGGGGTAGTGATGTCGGTTATCACGAGCATGAAACCAGTTCGATTCCTCTCCGGGCCAACCAAGCTCCTCACCTCTCTGGAGTTGAGAAATTAGTGCCGGGCTTGTTTGGGGAGAAATCACCTTCTGTAGTCCAATTGGGAACGTTACAGCCCGGCTATCTCAGGATTCCAAGGAGAATTGCTCTAGCAGCATTCTACGACATTCAAGATGAAATGGAAATCCTCAAGTAGCAGCAAAAGCCGCACGTAAAAGTTGGAAGATCTTCGTGGACAATGAAAGCGAGGAAACGAATCGAATGTGAGAAGTGCTGGGATCAGCACAATAGGCGTGGAGACGGATCAAATGAAATACAAAAAATGATAACCGACGACGGCTTGGCTAAGTGTTGGAGCCACTGGGAGGCACCGCAGTACTTCTTGAAGCCGAATTTCATCGAAAGATGGTCATACTGAGCACTTGGTGGTAAGGTTTCACTTTGACCATCACAGCTTCGTGAATTCGAGCGAAACAATAACATTGGAAAACTATGTGAAGCGAATCGACAAAATGCACCAGAAACTTCAACATCTGCACCCGCATTCGTCAACGGCTAGTTCTTTTGTACGACAAAGCGCGAGCACGCACCACATTACCCGTGGTTGAACGAGCTGGGCCAAGAAACTCTGCTTCATCTCTCCAGATTACTTCTCCTTCAAGCATCTCAATAACTTCCTATACAAGAAATGCTTCAGAAATCAAGGCCGAAACACTCCCTTCAACCAACTCATCGTCTCTTTTTAATTCATGTTAAGTTTTTACTTTTATTTTCTAACCCTATAATTTTCACGGCAGGGTATTATGCGAAATATAACCACAACTGAGAGCTTCTGAGAATGTCTGACAAGAGACAGGCGAAACGAAGGAACCGCATGGTGTGGTGGCGAACGCATTAGCCGCCAGAAAGGGTAATAGCGCGTTCGTTTCCCACCATAGACACCTGCGGTCAGGAGTTTTGCAATTATTTCAGCATCGTTGTAGTTATGTTAAGCGTGTTTTATTACTTTTTTCATACCAGCAATTCCAAACAATAATCACGAACTATCATGGCGATTGGGAAAGAAATAAGAGAAAATAACAAAGCCTAAATTTCGTATGGCTCACATCATGGATGGTGTTGGTTTTTTGACTACTTGCCATTTTTCCATAACTAGACGACATGAAGAATTAGGAACCTAGAAGGTTTGTGGAAAAGGCGGCTCAAATGACCAATGGGTATACCTATTTACTACATATTAATATACATCGATTTGAATCCGATTTACTGGTCAAGAGTTGAATTTGTTGGCCTTCAACCATGTCAGTAGATAACGAATTGAACATCGACTGAATCCTCATCGGAAGAAACGGCGAAGAGGCGGGATGCTCAAAAGAGAATGTATTAGGTTTTCTGAAAAATAATGTTTGATTCCATTGTATTTTCAAGGCGGATTATCTCAGTTCAGAGCAAATTTTATTAATCAGAAGAAACGCCACTGAAATTTACCCATGTACAGCAACGTGAAGCAAGCTTACTTATGTTTGTGCAAAATTCTAGACTTCTGGAAGCGCTGAAGTCATTGAAGGCAGTTCCGGCCTCGGTTTGGTTTCTGAAGCATTTCTCGTATAGAAAGTCATGGAGATGCTTGAAGTAGTAGTCGGGAGACGAGAGGTCCTGCGAGATAGTCAACGATGGAGAGCTTCGTATTCCAACTCGTTCAACGCTTTGTAGTGCGATGTGTGCTCGCAAGTTATCGTGTAAAAGAATTGGCACCCTTTCTGTTGATCATTGCGATAAACAAACAACCGTTGAGATTTTGTATGAATTTCGTCGACCTGCTGGACGTAGTTCTCTAAACGTTTCACTCGGATTCAGGGAGCTATGATGGATTGAAGCAGCCGTAAACCATTAAGCAATCAGCATGACTTTCTTTTTGGAGCAATTTTAACTCAGGGAAGTGTTGCGGAGTTTCTTTGGGGTCCGAACACTTAGT